CAACTTTCTTCTAGTTCTTTAATGCTTCCTCCTCCACCCCCACTATCATGATGCCAATTCTACCTTACAAATCCGGGTAGACCAGAGGGGATGTACAGTACTACAGATAAGAGCTAGAAACACAGGGAATCCAGGACAGATAAACCCCTCAGGACCAATAATGAGAGTAGCCATACCTGGAGGGAAAGGTGGGGGAGAAGGGGGGAACTGATCACAGTGATCTACATATAACCACCTCCTTGGGGCATGAACAACAGAAAAGTGGGTGAAGGGAGACATCGGTCAGTGTAAGACATGAAAAAATAATAATTTTTAAATTATCAAGGGTTCATGAAGGAGGGAGGATGGGAGAGGGAGGGGGAAAAATGAGCTGATACCAAGGTCTCAAGTAGAAAGAAAATTTTTAGAGGATAATGGCAACAAATGTACAAATGTGCTTGACACAATGGATGGATGAATGGACTGTTATAAGAGTTGTATGAGCCCCCAATAAAATAATTTTTAAAAAGGGAGGGGCACCATATGTTTACTAAGAGAGGGGTCCTTTAGTAAGACAGTAATGGTTTCTTGCCAATTACGGCCAGTCTTTAGATTACTGACTCTAAATGTCACTCAGATGTCAGTCTCCAAATTCAGCATATTCTTATCTAAAGGCATTATTCGTAGCACTTGTTTTCTGGTGGGAGATGTGTGAGAGACACTTGAGTTTAATCAGCTTCGTTGAACTTTATTCCTTGGAGGGGAGATGGCCACAAGAACTGTAGAACTATAAGCTTTGTACTTATCTAGAGTTGTGAAGACCGATGTAAATGAACTTTGAAGTTTATGGGGTTTTCATTAGGGAGTAGTTAAACAAATGTAAATAAGTGGTAGAGGTAATGGAATTTAATAATAATGGCTTTAAGTAAAACACGTTTCAAAATTGAATGTTCTTATTCTCCTAAGCACAATGACACTGTAAATACATTTTATAATGATTTTTCATTTGAGTATACTGTTTTAATTTAAAATATATAACTCTCTTTCAGAATCAGTATAATCTAGCAAGAGCTCAACAGTCATATAATGCCATTGTACAGATACATGAGGAAAATGGTATGTTAACTCAATTAATATTCACTGCCGCCTGTCCTTTGATGTTTTCATTGCTTCTTGCGTCCTTTTGTTGCTTTAGTTTCTTGTAATGTACGGTTACCAGAGCAAAAAAGAAACTGAGGCAATAGATACACGTGCTGTGCTTTATTCAAAATCGTATGTTAAGCCCTTGGCCTTGGCTACCTTTGAGTCAGTCTCAAGATATTTAAGTAGATGAAGGGATGAATCACTTTCTTCACTTGAAATGTGTGGTATTGAAATAGAAATTGAGTTAAAGGTAACTTTAGAGTTCTTGTGGAGTAAATGCAGTCAGGATCTTGAAAGAGCTGTTTCTATTATGTCATGACTTAACGCTATCGGCAGGCATACATACCTTAGCTCTTCAAATAAAAATAGTTCTGATTTCAGTGTACACTTTAGGAGTGAATTGTAAATTTTTTTAAGTAGGGAGAGGGGGGGAACTTTCTTTAAATATCTTCATGAACTTGGCTTGATCAAGGGTAATGTAACCAAGAGGAATTACTGAAACCCAATTGAAGGCTGAACATGATAGTGGGACAAGAGGAAAAGAGGAAAGATCTAGGAGGCAAAGGGCATTTATAGAGGTCTAAATACAGGCCTGTACAATGTAAATATATATAACGATAGGGAAATAGATCTGTGTACATATGTTTATATGTTTGGTATCAAGGTAACATACAGACATTGGGCCTCTACTCAAGTACTCCCTCAACGCAAGAACACTTTGTTCTAATAACCTGGCATTCTGTGATGCTGACCTTCCCAGCACAATAGCTGAAGACAAAATGGGTACATAGGAAATGTGGTGAAGCCAGCTGATGTTGCCCGGCTATCAAAAGATACAGCATCTGGGGTCTTAAAGGCCTGAAGATAAAGAAGCGGCCATCTAGCTGAGAAGCAACAAAGTCCCCATGGAAGAAGCACACCAACCTGTGTGATCATGAGGTGTCAATGGGGTCAGGTATCAGGCATCAAAGACCCAGAACAAAAAAGCTTATCAATGTGAATGGTGGGGAGTGGAGATCCAAACCCATCTGCAGACAATTGGATCTCCCCTTACAGAGGGGTCACAAGGAAGTGACAAGCCAGTCAGGGTGCAGTATAACACTGATGAAATATACAACTTTTCTCTAGATCTTTGACGCTGCTCACCCCCACCCCACCCCATGTACACTGGTACAGATCAGAGCTGGAAACACAGGGAATCTGGGACAGATAAACCTCTCAGGACCAATAATGAGAGTAGTTATATCAGGAGGGGAAGGGGAAGGTGGGGGGAGAAAGGGGAAACCGATCACAATGATCTACATAAAACCCCCTCCCTGGAGGACAGACAACAGAAAAGTGGGTGAAGGGAGA